GCACTGCTGACCATCAATAATACATTCAAATACTACAAACTGATGGAGAAGGAAGTCTGCCAGATGTAACTTTTATTCTACTTATTAGTTTTTGTCTTGTAAGAACATCCCGTTGTTAAATATCTAAATATTACATCATTATGTTGTGTTACAAAGGAACAGCATTAACAAAAGTAAAGATCACTGAGCGATTAGCTGTAGGGTGACCAAATGAACTACACCACAGTAGCATGAGCGCAAGTATACACAACAAGGCTGTGAAGGCGGACTGTGATGACGCTTTGTAGTCTCATTTAGCCACTTGTTTGCAATCACTTTTGTAAAGACATGTAAAAACATTAATATAGTAGAACAAACTGTTAAATGATCTTGTTAACCCCACACCGTATATCAGGCATCTAACTAAATACCCATTCAAAAGACCCATTGACTTAGAGACGACAGTGACTGCAAAAAAGAAAAGAATGAAACCATCCATCTCTGACATGGAGCGTTTTCTCACGATCTCAAGGCCAAATTTAAGATCATTACATTACATTACAGTCATTTAGCAGACGCTTTTATCCAAAGCGACTTACACTTCAGATTCTATCCTATTCATACACCGTATAGGCACGGGAGCAATTTTGGGGTTAAGTGTCTTGCTCAAGGACACATCGACATGCGACTAGCGGATCACCTTCTGCCGGTAGTGGATTGCCCTTTAATTGAACCACTTTTCAAGTTACTTAACCTGTATTCCGTTTATAGAGCAACACATTCTCACTCCCATCTTGCCAACTTGCCTACGCTTCAAACCATCGCGCTCTACGTACCCCTCTAGCGTCAGCTTTGGACGTGTCAGGTACTGCGTGTCAGGTCCCACTCATTACATTTATAGCGTCTTTTCCAAATAAACTTCTGTCTACAAAGGTTAGGTTTAGGATACGTTTACGTTTACTTTTAGTGACACATGGGACAGGTACAGCGGATTCCTGGATGAAAGTCCTATGTGTGTTTGACCCCGACCTGTGTAGACCATCTCACTCAGTCAGCTGCTCTGAGCGTCTCATAATGACACGGGTTGGCGAGTTGGGAGCGAGACCGGGTTGTATTGAGCCATAATATAGTATAAATGTGATTGTTGGTCCATTTAAAGATCGACTGTGAATTTGATCAATTGATTATATGAACTATATGGAATATGCAGTACAGTTAAGTTTGAACAGAAAGTTGTCTTACAGCTCCTCACAGCACCAGCTTTTATTGTAATAACGTCAACAGAACAGAAAGCATTGAGAGCTCAGCAGTTTTTACAGTAATAGTCACCACTTAGTAGAAATTATAGATACTCAAAACGAACAACTCTCCACTAAATACAGATTGTCGCTGGCTCTTGTTTTTAATGTTGTTTCAGCAAAAATACCCAGAAAAATCCCTTTTCTGACTCCATCTGTTCAGTGCTTCAGGTTAAAAAGGTAAAACAGATCATCGAATGAGAGCTCAGTGAGACTCTAACAACTGAGAAACGTGTAACTCCAATATGTTTTTAGATATAGCCTATTGTGTATTCATTAAGGTATTATTTCGATATTACTTTTATATTATGGATTTACCCTGCAACAGGAAGTACTTTGCATTATTTTTGGATTTAATTAAGCATTTTCTTAAAGTACAGACGGGTGTTACTATCATGGCAGTAAAGAGATGCTTTCACAACTAAAATAATTAAATGAAACTAAGACACAGATGGTTTCTTGAAACAGCACAGCCAACGTAAGCCTGTGTTAGCTAAGTGTCAACTGTATGCTACTATTTGAAAGCACGATGAACACAGTGTGTTTGCGCAGGTGACAGTTGTGTGTTTGTCACAAATGAGTGAAATCAACACATTTTGTTGTAATATACTAACAGCTGAAAGTAATTTTGTCTCAACCAAAATATATACGCGTGTGTGAGAGGTGTGTGGGCGGGCCGCTGTGCTGGTGGTTGAGAGAGTAAACATTCATTCATACCCAAAGGGAGATTTATCCTTTGTTATTTAACACATTTACCTCAATAAGAAGCCTGATCTCACTGGGACAATCTGAACTGTTTCTATGAAACCATATACAGTATGTACAAATCTGTGTGTAGTATATTACCTCACTCAGGGTGGTCAGGGTTAAGTAAGTGAAACCAGACTCAACATGTACCCAAAACTAAACCAAAAAAACTTGTTGCAACCTAAAAACTGTAATTCTTCTGAAGAAATTTGACAAAAAATAGGAATATGTAGTAGTATATGTATATTCCTTCCTGGTTAACTCTTATCTTCTTTCCTAATGTGACATATATATGAATGACAGCAATACAAACCACATTTGTTTCGCGTGCAGCTTCAATTAATTCCACTTTGTTGTTTTAAATATATTGATGGGCCTCATGACACAAAGGAGACCTGTTGTTTGTTTACATTCTGCAGCGTATGACAAGTTTCATACATGACGAACATCTGTCCTAATTGTGGCAGATCAAAAAAATGACCTCTTGTAAATTCTTGTGTCATAACACACTGTTAATACTTTGAGCCGCCCAGCACCCGTCTGTATCACATCATCATCACTATAGCTGTCGTTGCTTCTAGTAGGTTTTTAAGCAACGTTGTGCAAAATTCATCAGCGTTATTACGTGTTCTTTATACTCAGTTATCAAATCAATTAAATAGAGAATGCACCAATTTAAAAAGATCAATACTCAGCAGGAGTGTTGGCTGCATTGATTTCATGGTTCAGTGTTTCAGCATTCTGGCAAACTGCAGTTTCTTTTCAATTAGCAGATTAGTCGTGACTTTTTCAGAATGACCTCAAAACTACCTCGACATTTATGAGAAATATTAAGAAGACATGTATTATCAATAATGTCCACATAGCACCTTTTGTACTACTGAATTGTTGCAAACTGCATCATAGATAATGACTTAATACAAGAGCAGTTAATGTTAATCATATTATACTTATGTTACTGAATTCATAATAAAAAATAGGACCAAATAGGACTACCTTTGTTGCTACAACAGTTGGCATAGCAATCAGTAACCTGCTACCATACTTTCCTCATGAGAATGAACAGGAGTACATCTTTGAGCAGTCAGATAACTTTAAAGTCTATTTCTGGATAAATGAGAAATGTTTTAGACGCTTTGAACCAGTCCAAAATGAAAAAGTGGCAGACTACAATGCACAGTGGAAAGGAGACATTTTAAAACAGTTGCATCATGTCTGACCTTTGTTTTTGCTGCTGTAACATGTGGAGAGACAGAGAGACATTATGTGAACCCTAATGAGACAAACGTCTTCACCCTTATTCCTTATTCCACAGAAATAAATGTGACATCCTTGGATAGGTACAAGTCATTGACCATTAATATATTACATTATCAAGATCACATTGTATTCATATTAATGGGGCATCATTCTGTCTAGTCTTTGCTCATGCAGTCTGCATGATACTGAAATGAAAATATGCAAAACATCTAAACCCCCTGTAACAATGTTGCTTTGTAAGTTTACTTTAAGTAACTTTAAGAAACTCTCTCTCTCTCTCTCTCTCTGATATTCACATATAGCACATTGTGTTCCTCACTGTGACTTCATGGACATGCATTAAAAAAAAAAAAAAGAGTCACTGCTGACTCCCCAGCACTCTGGCCTGTGTACTCACTTGCAAAGCTTGTGTTTGCACTTCCTGTTAGCTGCATTTTATAAGCAACATTCTTCCCTCCTCAACAATTGGACTGCATCAGTTCCTGCTATCTCCCCGTTCGAGGAAGGTGGCGAGCGAGCCGAGAAGGGGCCAGCCTGTGCAGGGGCATTTGGATGGGGGAAGGGCATGTCTGCTGGCAATGAGGGTGAGTAGATCAGTGCGGCTCAGAGTCTGTGAGGCGGTGATAAGATTCCAGGATTTTCCCAGTGTGACAGGCCTGCTCACCAAGCCGTACACCCCTCTCTGCATGAAGACAACCTCAACCACCACCTGACCTTCCCCCCCGTCCCCCCTCCCCCTCCCCCAGCCCCTGGGCCGTTACACCTCAGCAGGCAGGCGCCACAGTCACCTGCAACCACACCCCGAACTGAAAATCTTAATCTCTTCTTTTTCCGTCTCAGGTGTGAAATAAAAGTACATGAATGAATTTCTACTTTCCAGTCGTGTGCTTCCACACTACACACTAGTTGTGCTGTATCTTTCTTTCTCTCTGGCTCACTTCTCTTTCTTTATCTCTGCCTCCCCCCCCCCCCCCCCCCCCCCCCCCTCCCCCCACACACACCCCACCCCAGACACACACACACACTCACGCACACACTCCCCCCATCGCCATGGCGATGGCACTAGCCCAGCACTGTCACCGGGGGGGGGGGGGGGAGGGTGGGAATATAGCTACACTCGCCAACCCTCCGCTCGCCAAGCTGATCACGAGCTCGTACACAAGCCCACCATACTGGGCCTTCCACCGTGGATATCCACTAATTAAAAACACTCAGCACTACGGCTGCGGCAGAAATCTGCATCTACTTCCCCACCTGGATATGAAAGAGTGACTGTGGATCTGTGAAAGAAAAATCACTGAGAATCCTCACTGAGCAGGAAATGGAAATTCACTCTGGTGTCACAGACCTGAGGCATTAGAATCAGTAATTACATTGAGACCCATGTGAGATTTTTTTCTAAGGTTTTAAATCAGCACTGCTCTCACTTATCTATGTCTTTATCCAAACTCCACTCCATGTATGCAGAACACACCCAGCCCTAAACACAGCGAGACACTTTATCCAGGATTCTTCTCGATAGCCTTAATAGGTCTGAGGACAAAAACTTCCCATCAGTAATCCATGACTATTAATGATTTTCTGACTCTAAATGTTATGGAGTACGTTGAATGTCCCAAAGATCTTAGAGAAGAGTAAAAATAATCTGGAAAAAAAGACATTTGGGGGAATTTTCAAGAGGTTTCGTGCATTTTGAAGAAACACTGCAATCAAAAATTGTTCTTATTCAAACGTCTTTTAAATAATTTTGGTTACATTTTTAGCACAGCAAGGCTCCATCAGTCATTCCAATATATAGGAAGGTATTACACAGGCCGTGAGAGAAATATCTCAGTCAAACCAAGGACATCTTGGTGAACCATACCACCGCCTGATTTACTTTTAATGACTTCTTCTCACGTCAGAATCTTTAAGAATTTCCCAACTCCATCCAATTATCAAAGAAAAGGGAATACTTTTTTTCAATTCATGGAAAATGTATACTTAATGTTTCTTTTTGTCAAACCAGCTGTTTTTTCAACAAAAAAAACATGCAAATAGACAAGTAGACAAACATCAGAATTGTAAATTTTGACACAATTACATGCATTCCTTTTTATTCACAAAACCAGTCGAATTTTCTAAACAAATACAAAGATTGGTTATTTCAAAAAGCTGTAGCTACCCAGCAATATAACAAAATCATGAAAATATAGCAAATAAACAAACAAACAAAAATAAAAATGAATCTTGTCTCAGTGCGTTCAGTAGGGTAGACTCAGAGCAAGTGCTGTCTCTTAGTGCTATTGCCCTGAGCAGTATTGGCACATGCTCAGTGGGGCCACAGTAACATAAGGCTGCCAGTATCACTAAAGGAAAAGTTTGGAAATGCAGAGGAGGGCTGATTGAGGCGACTACAGACTACAGTAGTGGGCCGATAACATAACTTTTTCAGTTTAGTTTAAATCCAAAATCAACAGCGTTACAATTTAAAAACATTTTCTTTGTCTTTCAAAGACAACCACCGATCCGTCTGAAAACTAGACTCTTCAACAAAAAGAATCATAAAACGGACATGTTTTTAAGTAAAATAATGGTGAAGAATTACAATAATGTTTGCCATTAGCCACTAGTTTTGAAATATAGCTGTAAATTTACATTCTCTACACAAGTACTGTATCTTTCCACACATGAACAACATTAACACCAAACACAGAAATTAGTTGATTGTCCACACTCAGTCCGTCATTTCTGTTTCTGGCAATGAACAGTTCCATGTTTAAGCGACAGAAAAAAACCTGCTGGAAAAAGGACAAAAGGTACCAAAATGGAAACATAGAAAAGGGAATGAAAGTTGCCATAGATGCTTTTCTTTACGTTTCATTTTTGGTTCAAGGAATAAGTAGGTGCATCCATTACCCGATTGATTTTTTTTTTTTTCTGCTTTGTTTTGTTTGTTATTTTTTTTCTCTATAATTTTATTTGTTGCTTGTTTGTTTATTAGCCAGTGTCTGTTCTGGAGACAATCCAGGAGTTGGCATTGCACTTGATGGCAGAGCTTTGGGTAGGGAGTGGAGGAGGAATCCTACTGGAACCACCGGAACGCCGCTCCTGTAGGAAGCATCACCTTCTTGGAGAAACAGAAGACAAGGAGGGGAGGGGAGGGGAGGGGAGGAGAGGGGAGAGAGAAGAGAGGGTTGGAGTTGTTAATGAAAAGCAGCACATTTGTTTTACAAGTGATTGCAAATATAATCCCAAACCTACTACTTCACTGAGAAGCTACAATTTCTTCACACCTTGAGAGAGAGGCTCTCATGATGTTGCCCTCCTGTTTCCTGAATTCTCTGTTGTTCACAAGGTTACATGTTCTTTTATTAGTCATTGTACGACAGGGTTGCACAACGAAATTCAGATTGCATTCCCATTGTAGTCCGCCTGCAACTAATGATTATTGTCACTATCGATTAATCTACCGGTTGTTGTTTTTCTTTAAATTACAAATCAAAAGTTATCAGAGCTCGTGGTGAGATAGAGTCTTCAGATTGCTTGTTTTGTCCAATCAACAGTCCAAAGACATTCAACATGCAATAACAGACAGAAGCACAAAATCTTCAGATTTAAGAAGGTGGAACCAGAGAATGTTTAGTATTTCTAGTTGACAAATTACTTAAATTATTAATGTCCACCAACTAATCGATTAACTTATATTCCTCTCTTTCTCCCTGGATGAGTCATGTGTGTGTGAAATCTCGACATCCTGCATCGTCTGGCCCAACAGCTGCCCCCCCCCCTCGCCTCAGCACCACCACAGGAACGGGCTTCAGTCCTGGCTTCACACAAAACCCGATATGCCACATTTATTATTTAGCCACCACACGCGTTGCTCTCCCACGCCACCGCTCTCCGTCCCTCACTCTTCCCTCACTTTGCTTATCTGTGCCTCTGATTGCGCCGAGCAATAGTGGCACACATGCATGCAGCTGCAGGGCTCGGCAGCGGCCTGCCAGTCAGGAGATAGAGAGACGCTCGGGGCCCCTGGAGCCGGAGCGCGGCTGGCGTCCTGCTAAGTGCAACTCGATTCTGCAGCGAGGATTCTTCCGTTAGCCAGCTTTGCCTGGAGCGAGGCAGTAGGAGCTCGGCAAACATTTATGCACCCACACACACTCTCACACCGAACCAATATGTATTCAAGTACAGTCACACACCTCCACACACAGTGGCACGTTAACCGACACTCACAATACACCCCCGAAATCACACCAAACAGTGAGACCGTTGAGCTAAAATTCTCAGACGCGATGGATTCAGATTCACTTTTGCATCAGCAGAGGGTTTACTATGGAACCATACATACTGTGAGACACACACACCCATGCAAACAATCACACTTATCTAATGGAAAAGGTAAACAGAGGATGTATGGCTTGTTAGTGTCATACACCCTTTACTGAAGACATTCAAATGTTTCAATTTATAACGCAATTCCAATAATGTGTAACCTCAGTATAATTAGCCTTAACATTGTGTGCATCTGGTTGCGCCGCCCCTTTTTTTTTTTTTACCACGGCATTAGAAGCAAATGGGCCATTAGTTCAGAGAAATCAGTTTGAAACCAAAAACAATAGCAGCCCTAATTACTTTTCAGGCCCACTTAAACCATTTCTATACCAGTGAATCAGCCGTACAGTTTTTCTTTTGAATGCTATTGTTCATATCTGGACACGAAACTGAGTGACAGCGGGGTTCGTGCTCCACAGGTTTCATTCACTTTCATTTTGAAAGTTAACTCCAGCTGGGTTACAAAAATGAAACATTTTCACTCGGGTAAAAAGGCTTCAAACAAAGGTAATTACTCTGGTGATCTCCGCCAAATATAGCCCACACTGTGCTTCATTTGTTAAATTAACTCAATCAGGAATAATCGGACAGCAGAGACACTGAATGCCACTGTTGCTGTTCATAGCCCACATATGCCAGTGCAATCTCTCAAATATATATAGCGTACATATAAAGGAAATTCTTTTTGGCTCAAATGATTATTAATAGGAACCACAGACCTGGAGGTTAATAGCCAACATATTGGCAACATTATTTCATGGTCTGTGTGTTAAGTATCTCTGGCCCGCCATCCATCTGTGGTGACCTTTCTACAGCGGCGCTCAGCTGTTAAGGAGACAGTCAGAGGGCAGCAACATCTGCCGCTGCCACAGATGTCGAAAACCCGGTAAAGGCCGGACTGACCATGACATAACGCGTGGGAAGAAAAACAACACACCCGTTCGCTTGGACTGAAAATACAGTTTTTCCTCATTATCCAACATGAGCAATCAATGGAAAAATGGCAGCAGTTCAGGAATAGAAAAGCCTCTCTTCACCAACACTGATTGCACAGGTTCAAACGGATGGAATCTGTGGGTGTGAAGTGGCCAATCACTAAAATCGATGGATGTGGTTTTTTTTCAAACAAGGCGAGCACATTTTACTTAGCGTAGCACGGACAATTTGTGTGTAACACACAACAAAAGCAGAAGAAAGAGGCGTCCTTCATTTCTCTGACTAACTGCCTATGGCTAATGCAAAGCCCCTCCACATGCATTCATACATGTGGGACGTAACACTGCCTGCCGCTCACAAGGGGCAGAAAAGTAAACCTTTAAAGCATCTGAATCAAAACACCAATGATCTCCAGCTGTCATAAACACTATTTGTCTGACTGAAGAGGTGAAGCATTATTTTCCTCAGCCTGCTCTCCCTTCCAGAAGTTAATCAAGATCGATATGTTTATACGTTGACAGGATATATTTTTCCTGGATGTCTTGTAAGCAGGTGCATTAACAAACAATTTGAGTCATTAGTTCAACCCATAAATCCTTTTGTCTATGAAGAAATAATTTATTTTAAAAATTTAAAAAAATTGCCGCAGTGATGTCTCCAATTTGCTCTATTCAGTTTACTGGCATGTATGACAAAGAAAAACAAAAACTGAAACGGTTGATTTTCAAAATAGTAGCCGATAAATTTTAGTTGTGAATAAACAGTAAAGCTAATGATCCAGATCTTTCATGCTAACCCTCGATACTCATGCCCTGTAATCACAGGTCAACATGCATACTGTTTCTTGTAATACTGTCAGGATATGGCCCTACAGCTACAGTTTGAGCAAATATGAGAATAAGTTATTTTCTATTAAAGTTACCAACTGCAGCTTCAATGCATTGTAATCCAGAAGCAGGCACCTTGGCCACCTTCCCTCTCTTTCCGTCTTCCTTAGCCTAATCTGTCCACTCCAACTTGTCCCCCTGTCTGCCCAGCAACTTGCCCACACGTCCATGTGTCTCGGTGTCAGTCTGCGTGCCTGTCAGTTTGCATGAGCCTCTTGTGTGCTGACTGTCTGGTGTACGGTGTCTGGGGGGCAGGGAAGACCATGAGGGAATATCAACGTCCCATATCAACGTCTGACACAAAGTGGCCCCCAATGGAAAACAATAGTATGTTTGGGTTTTAGCTGCATCTGATGACAAAGAAGCCCGAGTCTTTGACACAACCAATGAATTTCTTTACTTAATATATAACTCTATTAGTAGACAATGACAAAAACTCAGCTCCTGTCTTATCTATTCTGAAATATAACACACCCACCGTTACAGTACACCCTCAATGTACAGTGACATACAAGTAAAGACAAGATGCATTACAACTTCCTAACTCCTTCTTTCTCTCTGTGTTGAACAGCATCACTGAGACTGACACCACTGGAGGGTATTCATACATAGAGCGGCAAGGAACTGCCTTCCCACTTATTTCTCTCAAATGTAGCATTCCCAGAATAAATCCAGACATCTTCAGCCAGTGAGCTATGAGGTGGCAAAGGCCTCAGCATGCTAACTCCCCCTCACTTGCCAATTTTACGCTCCTCTTTGAGCTGCCATGAGCTTTCAATGGAAACCGTCAACACCCTCAAAATAAGCACACTGCTGCTTTCGGACTGCACTTGTGTACCGACGCGTAAACGCTCACCGGCTCGTGCAAGCGCACAAACACAAACCCTCCAGGCAAATGCGGTAAAACAGAGCCAAAGTCTTTTCACGTGTGTACGTGTGTGCTCACAAAAAAAAGCAGTCTGACAAACTGACCACAAGACACATGTTTAAATAAGACGTCACGCCTCTTTAGAGATTGCACAGCGAGCATAAACAGCCGCAGCAGACGGGGATGTGCCGCTCCATCTTTGATTGGAGGGGACTGTGACACTCTGGGGGCTGTTTGAGCTACAGCTGAGGCTCACTGCAGTCAGGACGATCTTCTCTCGTGGCACAGGTGCTGCAAGTCGCCCTCAATGTGCATTAAGGGGAAGCTAGAACTTCTCTTACAGATGCCTTGTTCAAACACATTCAAATACATACGGTAATTGACAATACTACATCATCTACTCGTTATTGACATTTGGGATTTACTGCTGACGCTCTGCTCTCTCCTGACGCGGCACATCCTCCGTGAATCTCTTCTGACATTTAGCTTGTACTGACGACATCACGCTCACTGACAGTGCGGCCCAGGCCGTAATCTCTGATCTAATCACCTGCTGAACAAGAGCTGTTGACTTAATAACAAAGCCATTAGAGACAACTTCTAGACTGCTAATGGGAAATGTATGAGTGCATGAGAACAAATAAAAAGCAGGCAAAATTGAAAATGTTGTACTGCTGTCAGAGCAAAGTTGATACTGTGGAAAATCAAGTTTGGGGCAAAGAGGCAGCAGGTTGCAGAACTCTCTGATGGTTTCCGGATTGAACGAGAGTCTCATTTTCTTGTGAAAGCTACTTACTATCAGGTCTATTATACATTTTGTCAGTTCTTTTGCAATGCACACAGGTTAAGTCACTTTATCATTCTAAAAGTACAAAGTTTACGGTGTCAAAACATATTGCAAAGATGTCCATGTACTAGGTACATGACCAAGACCATCAGCGGAATATTATTGAGATTACCTTGTCACAAAGATTGTACATTCATGCTGTGGGTTGTCAGGCGCTCGAGGTTGTGGTTTGATTCTTTGGCACAAACCTTTCTTTCCTTTTTCCATGGCAATCTCATGCCTGACACATTCAGTATGTTTGTGGCACCGCACACATGTTTAGCTCTCTAAAAAAAGGCACTGCATCTTTGTCCATGTAATGTTTAGGCAATTAATGAGACCCTGACCATAAAAATATCCACATCCATATCTATGTGATGAACGCACAAGCTTTAGTGTAACCTAATCCCGATTTTGGCCAAGTGAAAAATATCAAAACGTCATGCTGACTCTGACGTCTGACGGATTACTTCAGGCAATGTTTCAGTCTGAAAGCTGTTTTTTGATACTGTTTTCGAACTACACTGATTTTGTGCAGGCACCATCAGGAATGATGTAATAGAGTAGCGTTGCCCGCACAACAAGCACAAACTTGTACACATACATTATCCTTTAAGAATATTCACTAGCCTAATATTGTCACGTTGCATGCAGGGATTGGCCTCTTTGTTTCTGATCTGAAAAAAAGGGGAAATTGCTTGACAGACGCACTAAATAAAGTGGTTAGTAGCACATACTTTGAGATGTCAGGAGTACAAAATGCGTGCAAGGTAATTACAGTACATACGATTACTGACGCCAATGATCAGACTGCTATTATACTTGGAGGCTTGGCAGGTTTATGATACCCTGGAGTTTCTTTTATATGAGGTGGCTACTGGCAACATCAGCAGACTGACGTTTCAAGCAGCATGATGACCTATATCAACATCAACAGTCATGAATATTCAAGCCCCCTTGGGTCTGGCATCACTGGTGTGAATGACTGGTATTGGGCTAACTGCCATGACAACATCAATTGCAAATCATAAATTTGAATTAAATTCTTTTCTGTTTCAGACATTGAGTCGTACCACCTACATAGCCAGCTGACACATTTGGTGAATCATCAGCGGAGACAAATGAAGCCTCTCATTATTTTGTAACTGAACAATAGAAAAGTGAAAAACAACATGCTGGTATTCAGACACATCAGTTTGATTCTCAACGTGTGGAAGTCAGCTTTTTTACAGTCACAATTTCCCTTAATGAACAGCATGTGAATGCTTTAACTCCACTCAATCGAATGGACCATGCCATGGTTCTTAAATATTTGGACTTATTTACAGTCATACAAATCATATACTCTTTTAACTGTTGCCAACTTTTTTTTTCAAATTTGACTATATATCAGGCTGTTATTAGGAACCGCCTTTAGACACGTTAAAGCTTCACAACTCACGAGAGGGGTTACTGAGGTATTTTATATCGCAGAACAAAACAAACAAACTCTCTTAAGCTTGTGTAACCACAGACCTCATTCTTGAATTAAGGTAAATGGAGTCGCACTCCCTGCATGTGTTGTTTGAGCTTCTCTGTGCTTTGTTTATGTAGCTGGTCCAGCCGCGAGTGCATGTCAGTACACGTGAGTCCCAGTGTGTGCGCACCACCAGCTAGATAATTGCTGCCACTGTGCAATGCGCTCATTCGTTGATCTGGACCCACGGCATTGTCGCAGAAGCGTGGTGCCCACCCTCTGGTAACCGAGGTCAAAACTTTAGGCTCTGTCAGCACAGTTTGCCGTTGTTTGCACTGTTAGCACTGTTAGCTGCTAGTCCCCGGCTCAGCTGTCGCCTTGTTGAGAACCGTGTGGAGGCAATACTTCAATCATAGATATGCTCTGAATATCCAAATGAGCACCTAAAAGGTTTGATTAGGTTTAGGCATACCAACAACGAGGTTATGCTTGGGGAAACTTCGTGGTTTGAGTTTAAGTTACTACTTCAATAAAAGTTAGGGACCCTCATTGTCACGGTTACAATAATAAACATTTTGTTAAAATCTGTGAAACGGTTGTGGTCATGGTAAAAGAAAAGGCTGACTGTCGGTAGGAAATCCTGTGTTGAATTCCAACGTTTTGTTAACCCAACCACTCAAGGCCTCCTCCCTAACCCAACTCTAGAATAAAGTCCCCTGCCTTTGCTTCTGATGGACAAGAGTCAGAATTCCTACGGCCACTAGAGATCTTTGTCCCTCGGATTTAAATATGTTGTTTTTGGACATTTTCCGAAAAGCTCATTATGTTGTTTTTCTTGGGAGGACAGTATCCACACGCAACGCTTTGCAAACACAAATACTATGCTAAGTTTTTGAAAAAGGGTCGGTACATTTTATGTAGGCGACTTATCACATGATCTGTAGTGAATAAGCTAAAACATGCAAAAATATTGATAAAGTCTTTTAAAATATTTAAGCCCTAAGAACCCTTAGGAGTGGAGAAGACAAAACAAAGTAGAATTTGAGCCAAAGACATGGAATTGTCTAGTCGAACTTAAGGTTCCATGAACATCTAGCTAAAAGAGCCAAACCAAACTAATCTTACAGTAAAAATGACATCACTGAGTTCTGTGTTCTCCGTTTGTGTCACTCAAAATCCTCCATTAACCAAACCATCTCCTTTAAGGAGCATTTCACTGTGGATGGCCGAAAGTCGGCACATGGTGACTGAACAACCAACTTTTCAGCCCACAAACAAGATTCCAAGCTGTCACTCTCAATCAACATCAGGAAGAGAGAGAAGTAAAGCCATTAGCAGTTTGAAGCACGGATCCAGTTTGTGTCAATTAGACCAGACGCCTCTCCACTGGTTCACGTTCACACTATGTTATCAATGTATTACGTAATGCCAATGTGACACTATTATCCATCGATCACAAAAGTTTATTTCCTTTGAGATGGAACATCTGCTGAAATTGATTTCATGATTGGTCGTTCTGTCATCACAGCCAGGGTCAGTTAGGCCGCTGAGTGTGATGGAGGAAACTGACGGGAAGTTTGGAGGACCATTTAGATGAACAGGAGTGTCACCGGAGAGAAGGACAGCGGCAGCAAAAAAGAGGGGATGGGGGGGGGGGGGCATGTGCCACACTGACACCCGGTGCTCCAGATGACAGCTCTGTGACCAGATGGACCTTGTTACATGCACACACATACACAAACATACCCACGCGTGTACACTCACAGTCAAACACATACTGTACACATATTCACAATTACTGCCACTCTGCCTCCACACATACGTCATTTTTTCTTTACGATTGCAACATATGCACAACGAGGATGTCCATGTGTCCGAACAGAAAATGCTCACAATTCTTTGTGTAAACTTGAGTTTAAGTTGATGAATAAGCCTTCCGATTTAAAGATGTGTGCAGGGTGATTGTGTCTTTATGGTGGACGGATTAAAGACACCCCATGGTGCATGCTTACCCTCCACATACCCACCACACTCGTCACCACCTGTCATTTCCCTGCTTGTGGAAGCCCCCTGTACTATTTCCCTTAAAGGGGACCAACACAGGTACAATTCAGAAGATCTTCTTTGTGCTTTCAGATGTGAAGCTGAAATTAGTTTGTGATGTTTGCAGATCTCTCTAGAATTTTCCAGATCTTCGCTGAGGACCAACTTTTTACATCCCATGAAGATCTACGTATTTCTCTAGTTTCTCACTTCGGGTTACTGCACCCAAATGTTGTTCATTTTTGTGACTGCATTGAAGCTCTGTCGTAACTCTTTGGGTCAAAAACTTTTAAGCTTATTCTTTGGGAAAACCCTAAAGAACAGTCCACAATTCACACACACTTACCTCCAGAGCAGCAGAGGGTTTCTTCTTCAGTTCCTCACATTTGCGAAACTTGCAGATCTGGTGGCCTGTTTTGCGATTCCGGCAGCTGCTGCATTGCTCGCAGTTAATCCGCCGTCGGCAAGGTGGGCACATGCCGCAACGTTTTCGCTTCTTTTTACCGGAGTTGATCGCAGAGGCCAGCTCGCTCTGCGCCGGGTACTCGGCCAGGCCGGCCATGTGTAGCGCGCTGTCCGCCAGAAACACTCCAGCCGGCGTCATGATGAAAAGCCCGGGGTTGAAGGGGAAACCACCCCCTACTCCATATGGGAAGTCAACAGGACCACCTACGGCGTCCGTGACAGACGTACCCTCCAAGTCGCTAGCCCCCGAGCCTGCGTCTCCACTGCCAACTCCCACTCCCATGCCCCCAGGCAGGAGCATGTGCTCCATACCGGCCCGCTTTAACAATGCTGCTGCCTGAGCAAAGTGCAGCAGGCCATTCTGTCCCTCCAGAACCTGTTCTAGGGTCCGGTCCAACTTGGCTGCCGCCAGTGCGGAGACAGTGGGCTGAGGCAGCGGGGGTGGCTGAGGCTTGGCCAAGTGGCTCTTTGTCTCACTATTGTCCTTGTGTCCATTGCTGGTGGCAGAGGAGACTGCTGTATACTGGGAGAGGGTACGGGACTTCTTAAGGCTCTTGCTGAGGGGCTCACTGATGATGCCACTGCGGTTCCTGCGCTCTATAACAGGAGAGTCCTGTTTGCAGTTACTCCGCTCCTGGTCCTCTGTCCGGCCCCCCGCCGACAGCCCACTAGACATGGTCCAGAGCGTACGTGCCTGGGTTGGGGGTGAGGGTGGAAAGGGGGCAGGGGTGAGCGAGGAGGGGGAGCAAAGACCTTTTCTCGGTCCGTTCTGTGCCCCGGTGAGAGTGGTGCCTCACCTCAATGGACCAATCAGCCAGCCGATAACAGGCAGGCCCCGGAGCCTTCTGCCCGCACTACAGCTCAGCCCTCATCCACGTCGTTCCATGGGCCGTCTGGAAACTTTACACAGGGAGAGAAGAGAGGCATATTACTCATCAATGATCACTTCACCAAAACACTGAGACACTCAAGACATACATTTTCCATTTATGTCAACTTAGGCAAATTCTGAAAAGAAGAACATCACCTTTAAGGCCGATATGGTCAACTTGTAAGCAAACAGTTATTTACACATCCAGCAGTCAGGGAGCAACATTAGCATTCATTTGGTGTTTCTGGCCACCTGTGAAGGCAAGTCTCGTATTCACTTAGTTTTTGGTCTGTTTTTGGTCTCTACCATCTCCTGTGGGAAATATCAGGCTATTTATCTGCTAAATGCTCCACTATGTTCACCAGCTAGTCTCTAACTGTGTTTGTCTGCTGTTTGATGCTGAGCAGGTAGTGTTCAGTGGGTTTTTAGAGCTTTTTCTCTGCAAACAGCTTCATTGGAGCGGGGAGAGTGAAACAAAACAGTGAAGTAATGATGCTACAAACTACGCAAACAATTGAGCTCAATACTCAACGTTTGTCAGTTTACCTGGTCTTTAGTGCTCTGATACAATTAGAGTAAGTGACGTCAGTTTTATAAAATTGAACACAGACAATGGCCATTAAAGGTTTCAGTTTGTATCCCTGAAAATCTTGACTAAGATATATTTACATTCAATTCAAATTCAAGCACAGAAAATCTAAAAACTCTCAATTTCCTTTTAATTCTTCACACATCAATCTACAAATCAACACCTGCTTCCCTGGTGCTTCACTGATTGGTTGGCAAAGAAAACAATTACGAGGTCTGGAGCCTAAACCTGCTATTTCAATCAAATACAATCAAATTAATTGTGTTGTATTGAGGGTAAAAACTGCTTTGGTACACTACAAAAATAACAAACTAATGGTTATTTGTTTTATATTCTCAATTGAAATACTCTGTTAGGACCTATCACATTTAACGCTAAAATATTCAGAAATAGAAACGTGTTCCTTTTGGTGAAATATTTTCACAAACAAACACAGTTTCTGCTTTAATTATAGATGCGTAAGCTCTCCTTCAGAAAAGTGTCTGTCTTTATCTGTTATCTTATTACCTGCTTGGAAATAGTATCTTGGTTCACTCTTTGACCAATCAATCTGTTGTATCTGTTGGTCTGTGTAAGGAGCAAACACAACTGTGATTTCTGTCAGAATATTTCACATCTTTAAGCGAAGTTAGTCAGTCGTGAAATTATGGTATTTATTAGTAATAATGACCAATTTAAACATATAAGCCCTATTTGAGGCCAACTTTAAATTGTAGTGCCCTGACTGCAGTTTACTCATTTAGGAATGTTGCATTTATTGACTAACAATTACATGCTTGTTGATCTGATATCTGTGATGTATGTGCGTCCCTTATTGGATTCTCACACAACAATCTGGGAACTGCTAAAAATACAGCCAAAAGCCCGGGTTCAGACCAAAGGAAGTTGATATTCTTTTCATTAACTTTGGACGTTGTATGATTCCTATCATTGTCTAGAAATTATTTTTTATCCTATTACTTTTATAGACCAAACCTGTAGAGCAATATCAGATGGTAAAATATGCGGTGGGGCTGATGAAGAGGTTTCACCAAGCAAATGTCAAGAGACTCCCCCACTGGACAGAGATGCATCCATCCACCGGCTTTTAGCACAAGATTCCTGTGACTGCTCATCTATGAAAAGAAAAACTATGCTGCTATTCTCCTGACCTGTCCATGTTCACAAACAAGCATACCACCTCCCACAGACAAGCTGAGGAAATGGCCGGGCCAGTCCTTATAAGGGAAACAAAGGGAAAGGGAGGGGAAGAGGATGGAGGGGGGGTGTCTGTGCAGTGTGTGGAAATTGGAAGGCCAGAATTAGTGGGAGGTAAAGCTTCAAAGGCAAGAGCACAGCCCCCACATTCTCACCAGCTCAGGGGGATGTGGCGCCAGCGAACCAGAGCCAGCTCCGCAGCCCCTTAGCCCCAGAGTTTCAGTTTCTCCCACTACAGCACTGACCAGGGTCCGGTTTCCCGAAGGCATCTCAAACTATCTGCGTCTCTACTCAGTTGTGATTGAATGCAGAGCAGCACTGCAAATCATCATGGGGTTTATGTGGTATTATGGAATATTGGACCTGAAATGATGTATTTAGTGGTCAGATATGAATACGTCACTGTTGTTAAAGGTGACTTTTCATTAAGATTTAAACGTAACATTGACTCAAATGAGCTGTATGGCAGCTGTGCATTTGCGTAAAGTAAATCTGGGTACAGTAACACCATTTCTTGATTAATAATGGCCTGAGAGAATATCCAGCTCTGATCCAACTTCATCAACGCTCTAAACACAGTAAATGTGATAAAAGACTTGAGTTTTCCACATAATTAATAAACTGGCGCATTATCAATAGCTAGAATAAATGAGCTCCCAAGACTGCTACAAAGCGACAAAGTTGGCGATTGCCTCTCATGACAACAGCTCCAAAAATATCACAATCAGCCGTAACATAATAATTGAGCCTGGGAATTACTATCTGACCAGCTGACCGACCGACGGCACCACTGGTTTAAAATAAGGCAAATACAAATTGACGTATTCCAGCTGCTGTTCTTCCAAAGTGTTGATGATCTTGATTGTACACAATATGTTTTACACAGCTGACTTGCTTTGAGTCAATCCCTGCAACACCTGCTGTCTGACGACAATACAGTGACACACACAGCCTTTTTCTTTGTTCACGATAAATATAAATAATTTGATATATGACTGCCTGGGATTTTTAGGTGTGCACAATTTTGTATTATAGCTGAACACATCAGTGTAACAAGTGCTACAATGCTGAAGGCTTTAAGGCACTTCTTAGTGCTCTGTAACCTATGCTTTGCAGGTTAAAGAAAAACAGCAGATAAACGTGATGATAACACACAAAGTTAAGGTACGTAATAGGTGACAGCTATATGATTTGTTAAACAAGATCAACAAATTTTAATCATTTCATAAATACTCTATTCATTTTGTGTGTGATTTCTACACAATAATATTTTGTCGCCTGACAAAAATTGCAAACTGTGCAAAATTCTGCCACAAAGAAAATACTAAAACTCCCTCAAAATCAGTCTGGAATGACAAACAGGTGTACGCAGATTTGTATTTTTACATGTTTACAGGTTGCGTTTGCAACATAAGACATTAGTTGCATAGGTCTACCACATTGTGTAACGAATGAAGTCATGGTCACGCTCACTCTGCTGTTTGTGCACATCTGCCTTCCATCCTGACCTATCTGTCACACTCACATCAACATCAGCCCTGAGCACGGCATAGCTGATCACCTCCTCGACTTCCAGCATCAGATCACCGCATCATTTACAGGGCAGATCCATGTCCTTATGTGAACTGTCTCCTAAACCACAACTGCCTCTGGTACGGAGTGTCAATGCCGTACTACTGAAACCAGATAATTGCTGCTGTTTTGTCCTTTAAGCATGTTTACTCACATTTCCTGTGATGTTAGAGACTTAATGCTGTGGTTCACATAAAAGTATTACGTCTCAGGTTTCTGTGAAACTCTGACAAGAGCAGTGTAATTAGGAGTCACACGTTAAGAGAGCCATGTTTTATGGACCTCGAGCTGTCTCGGCATTAAAATGGGCGTAGATATTAGCTATACCTGGTATTTCCCTGAGTCTTTCTTCAACGTGCTGCACAGGACTGGCAGACGGAGATAAAGGTCTGGATTTTAAATTGTCCCGAATGATCAAAACAATCCAGCAGCCTTTCTTCGGATCGACCAATGAGCTCAGCTGGACGTTGTATAGAGCGCTGGTGTGGCCTGAGACGCATGATCTGAGCCTGCAATTGAAGCATCCACTAAAATAATTGGTGGCTTCTTGTTTGGGTAAATTAAAAGCTGCAGCAAAAGCTGCACTGTGTAATAATATGACTTTGTGAACTGTTGTTTTTAAGGCTTGGTCTTCATTATAAGCAAAACTGAATCTTATTTTTTTTTTACACTTTATGGAAAGCAAATCTGAGTGCTGGACAATTCCTCATGTCTTAATGGTCAATAAGTCGTTTAGTGGAGCCGACAAAACATTGACTGGCCTAAGGAGGTCAAACACAACGCTCTTAATGCGATTATATATGTTGCCGTTCATTCAGTAAAAACACTAAGTGAAAATCTTGACAATAATTCCAGCCTGTTTTGTTGAATCAGCTGAGTGATGTCAGCTCAGTAACTTTGTCACTTTGTGGACACTCGGTCAACAGCAGCTGATCTGCAGAAACTGAGAATTAGTTTGAATGTGGTTAACAAAACGACACATAGGTTGATGCATGATATTTGGGTATTAATTTGCGTGTGAAGTAACATTTTTGTTTAATCAGCTAATAGCAGTATAACTGAGTCTGGGTTCACATATAATGCTTTTCTATCATGCTCAATTTGCAAACAGTCTCATTAAAACGTGAATTGAAAAGAGTGTCATGTGAGTGTGAAATGTGGTGTTTTTATCCAGATGTTCCTGCTCGTATTGATCCTTTAAGAGATTGCTTTAGCTGTCTGCTTACTTTCTACTTGACCATGCTGCCTGAAAATAGTTTCCTCCCGACCTGTGTATGAGTTTGTTTATATCTAATGGTTTGCATGAAACTTGCCGCTCAGTTTCAGTGGCCTGAGACGCTCAAATTAAAGGAAATGTTGAAGATTTTGGGAGATACATTTATACTCTTTCTTGCAGAGTTCGACGAGAATACCGATTTCGATGTCTGCACTCTAAATATGAAGCTACAGCCAGGAGACGGTTAGCTTAGCTTAGCTTAGCTTAGCATACAGACTGGAGACTGGGGGAATCAGCTAGCCTGGTTCTGTTCAAAGGTAACAAAATCTCATCAGTAGCCGTAAAGCTCACTAATTAACACTTTATCTACTGTTTGTTTGAGCTGCACAAAAGTGTAAAAACAACAATTTCCCATTGAACAGGGGGTTATTATGTGCTGAACTATTTCTTGGCTAGGACCAGTTGCCAGGCAACCAGAGAAAAACTCCGGGGCCATGAAATCGAAACCCTCGGTAAAACGTAAAATTTTTAGCCGCAACTGCTATTCGTAGCTACGTACTTATCGTACGAACATATGAGTGGTATCAATCTTCTCATCTACTGTAAAGTAAGCAAATGAGCACATTTACAAAAACTTTTCCTTGAAGACACATGGCGCAAATATGATCAGTACATTGTGTACACCTGAAGCAAAGCTGGTCACAACACCTGCACAGTGTGTCAAGACATTGTAAAAGCGTTTCAAAAGCTCGATTAAATACGTCAGAGGAATTATTGGCGAAATCTGGTGGAGGCAAGTCAACAAGGTCTTCATTTCATGTGGAGCATTTACAAAACGTTTTGAGCTGAAATATTTGGTGAATTAAGGAATCCTTTAATAGATAATACTTTACACCCACAGCTATACAAATGATGAGTATTTCCTAACAGCCAAAGTGCTGCTGGGTGAATGTAGTCAGCACTATGACATGAACAGCTCATTTAACTCGCACATGCAGCTCTCAGCTTGTAATAGCTCCAGAATTTTCCAAACAGTTTCCTCATATAAGCAGTTCTTTAAAAATGTGTGCCAAGAAAATGAATGTCAGTCCACAATATAGTGACAACTGACTGATGTGGTTCAGTAGTTCAATGGGTTTGATCAATAGGTCAGGGAGGAATGGAGGAAAGCATTTAGGGCCAGTATGTGTTTATATCCCATTGTTGTTTAGATTGTAGGCCAATAATCTTATTCAGTGCAAAAATCTTAACACGTGAATGACAACCAAAAACTACCAGGAAGCTGGGGTTTTTTTCTATTGCGGCTGCTTAAATATTCAACACACTTTGAATTGGTCCCCACTGTAGCCTGATATTACACAGATGAGCTCAATGAAACACATTCGTTTAGTTTAAGGCTGTGATGAACACATTGGAAGGATAAACTCGTTATACAACTTTCTTTCAGTAAGAAATCCTGAATTATTTACATTTTCTTAATTAAATAAACAAATTACCCTGCTAATTAAAATCAGATCAACTTTGATTGGACCTCCTTGAATTCACTCTTGAATAAGTTTCCTTCACTGACGGAATTAGCTTTTTTTAACAACAGAGTTGGGGAAAAATCGTCTAATTTCCTGCGGGGTTATGAAGCATTTGGCCCGCCACAAACTGTGGAGCAGCTGACTTTAACACCTCCAGAGACGCGAGAATATTTAATGCATTAGTTCAGGCGATGCACGATGCAGACCCCCCCTCCCTCCCTCCCTCCGGTCCAGACGCGCTGTCTGCGGACTCGTGTAGGTACTTACGGTGAGCTACACATTCTCTATTCCTCCCACCTCCTGTAGACTGACGCGCGCACACGCACAAACACTCGTTCACGCACGAATAGAGGAAGTTAAAAAAAAGGAAAAAGCCTGGTGACAATAATAAGACTCAAGGCGTCATCCATTGTCCATAACCTGCTGCGTCTTCTCCCTAATGAGGCTATATTCACACAAAAAGTTGGAGGGGAAAAACAACCACGCCGTGCATACTGTGACTTCAAATTATTCGCAAACATATGGAGCGCTTGGAGCAGCGATACCGGCGGCGGATTGCAGGGGGGATGTGACTGTATATCTCCGGGAAGCGCGATGAAAGCTTGTGTACCTGGGAACTTTCTAATGATGCCCGGAGAAAAAGAAGAATGTGGAATAAAAAAATAAAATAAATAAAGCTGAAGAATCCTTCGCCTATCTTTACGCGCGTGGAAAGCTGTGGTATCTATTGACTGGTTTATGTTTTTAGGGTTAAATAAAAGTTTCAATTCGGCAACACAGGGTGACAATCCGTCTGTTGTCAAATGTCAGCGCGATTCCGACTCTAATGCTCGTTGATCATTTCGTTCATTACCTGGAAGCGTCAAGTTTAGTGCGCGTCGTTAACAGCTGATTCACAATAAAGCACCAGCGTGCCGATCCGTATCTGGAGGCGACTTATTAAATAAAGAGAAATGGAAATTGTTCTTGTAAAAACTGACAGCAGCTTGTTAGATATTCCCGTTATAGCGCTGAATCACGGTTTAAAACCTTTTTCTCTTCTCTTCTTTCAAGATCAAAATAGCTGGCTTTTGTCTGGACTCGGTGATCTATGAGCACGGCAGCCTATCTGCGGTACCAGCATATGGTCTGCAGCCGCACATTTGAGGATATACAGAAGAGCCCCGGTTCACCCCGCTATAACTTGATCCTATAAGATGACAGCCCCAACTTTCAGCAGACTTCAACAAAGTATGATCCCCCATCACCACCCCTCCTCCCTGCCCTCCCATGTATCTGCATATTTGCAAACACGGGCCCAATTTATTTTGCACCTACCAAAGCAGATCCGAGCAGAGGGGAGGGCTCCCACAGTCCGAGCGGTCCGTCTCTCAGCCTGCCGTGCAGAATGGTGACACAAAAAAAAAAAAAGAAAAGGGCAGAAAAAAAGCTTATTCTCCGAGAACAAAATCATACAGAGTGCCTGCCCGTTAGTGACAAATGTGAAAAAGAAAAAAAAATATTCACCGTCAGTTATTTTGGAAAAGCGTACTTTCTCTGAGGCTGAACGCGTGGGTTCCCCCAGCTTTCTCAGTCCTTGCAATCCCACCTCTACATCCCCGCTTGCAGAGAGGAACATGCAAACACATTTCATAGATTTTTGGAGCTTCGCGGAAAAACCGAAGTGGACTTTTCAGCGGTGGCGGCGGCGGCGGCGGCGGCGCGCGCGCTTCGGCTCAGCTGAGGCAACAACAAACGGAGAGGCCGCGAGGTGCAGTGTGATTTCAGAACAGCTGGGGGGAGAGGTGTTGATTCAGAATAAAACTGAGCGCTCATAGAAGATGATGCACTGTGCCTGAATGATTACTGACGTCGGTCAGTTCAAATAATGTATTCAAAATAATATATATATATATATATATATATATATATATATATACACGAATGGTTTGTTGAGCGACTTTAAGCGAGACAAAACTGTCTGGGTGAGCGATATTTTGGGGATGGTTTATAATTAGAGCCTAAACCTATGAATATTGTGTTGAATGTGAATGTCCGCCCTCGTTTTAGGAGTGATCTTTGTCAAGAGAAACGCATGGGGGTGGAGGGTAAACACCCATCAATGTATTTGGAGAACAGAGTTTATCAGCCATGCAACGCTGACGGACAGAAATCCTCCTCATCCCCGGTCGCGCCTCCTCGCGCTCAGCCCCAGAAGTCCACTCCACCTCTTTCGACTGTCCTGTCTGCTGGCAGGCGGCCAACCCAAGTGTGTGGAAATGACACCGCCAGGGCGGCAGAGATTTTCCTTCATTTCTCTCCTTCCCGATCGCAGACTGGCTGACATTGGCTAGAAAGTGGAGCAGCTCGTCAGGGACAATCAATGCGAATCGATCGAGCTGTGCGGTGGAGGCTCCAGAGCTGGAAAATATCGCGGCAGCTGAAGGGAGAGAGAGAGAGAGAGAGAGAGAATTAGAGAGGAGGGGGTGCTCTACAAACTCTGCCAGTAACCAACCAACCTCCCTGCAAACAAATATGCTCTGCCTCTCATAAACATGACACTCACTTAGTAAATACTCAAGTCAAAAAGCCACCACATGTGTAATTACGCACGGGATTTGCGTTCCAAACGCATTAACAATAAAGATGTCCACCCAAACAAGTTAGTCTATAATTTATTGAGTGTTCTGGCAATACAATGTTTTAAATCTGCCAATGGGATACATGGTTGTTTCACTTGTTCCCAAGTGTTTGCACTCGTTTCAAATATACTTTTCTCAAGATAAAATGACACCGAACTGGAAATATTATCTCACAATCAGACGTTTTTCAAGCTGGGAAAACCAGGTTTTAATATTTCACATGATGCTTGAAAGACCCAAAACGTGGTCATCCATTTCAATGCTTTTGCAAAACGTGATTATACATTGTGATTTATATCTATTTTGGAAAATACTTTAAATTCAAAATGAAACATAGGAAACATAATCACATTCTGTTCACAAATGTAAGAAAATGTCTTCAGATTACATCTATTTTCAGTACCATTTATTAAAATGACGGGTATCTCATTCTGGAGTGGGACTTATTCACACTGTGTTATTGCTTAAAAAACTAATTCTATCGTGCCAAACATTATGTTTAATAAATCAACATGGCTGTGAAACTTCCACAGAGCTGTTCCACTTTAGCAAAGGAAAATGTGAACATGTGATTTCCGTTACAGGTTTTATGTTGCCCTATTAGACTTTTCAGTTTTCTCACACCTGTTAAATTGTAGGTTGTTACACATTTATTGTCAAACCGTCCAACTGCACTGACGTCATCACAACCAGGAAGTATTACTGTGTGGTCAAACAATTCAAAAATGTTTAAAGGAGGAAAAGAAGTAATGTTAACACGTTCCACCTTTGTTCATTTAAAATCTACAGTGGATACTTAAATCCCTCACACAGAATCCTGTCAAAGTAGACACACACCAGTCCAATGAATGTCCTCACAATTTCATATGAAAGTAATATAATTTTTCAGGCCAAGCAGCAGCTGGAAAGATGTTTAATGTCTATTTCAGTGTTAATATACGTTTCACGTGCATATGATGTTGTGGTCACTAAATAGCATTACAAAACTATCAAAATAAAATGTGTTGCAGAAACAATCCATTTGTTTTTTAGAACGCCGCTGTCAGTGTCACATGCGCTGTGTTTGTTCCCCCTCTGCCTTGTTGTCTTTTCTGCAGACTAATCCCTTCAGTCTCAGGCTAGACGATGTTTCAAAGCAGACTCACAAAAATATGTCACATTTTGGCTGTAAAAGTGATCTAACAACACACTTCCATGTGGAAATTGTTACAATGTTCCGCTGGAAAGGTAATAATGCAGCCGTGAGTTTATTTTGAAATCTGCATGTGTTTGAAATAAAGCTTTTATAAGGTTGCCTTCAAGTGATATATCATATCATCGCTTATCTTTTGTACTGACATGAAACAAAACTGAGGGTCTACAGCACTAGGAGCGCCTCTGTGGGGCTGTACATTGTCACCAGGGTTGCTTTGAGCTAAATGCTAACATCAGCACGTTCTCACAATGACAATGCTAACATGCTGATATAGATATAGAAATTTACAGAGATACAAGTATAAAGTTTACCAAGTCCACCATCTTACTTTAGCGTCTTAGCATGCTAACACTTGCTAATCAGCACTAAAGACAAAGTGCAGCTGAGGCTGATGGGAAAGCTATTAGTTTTGCAGGTATTTCGTCATAAACCAAAGTATTGAACAAATTGAGATTTTGTCCAGATGATTGTGCTAGAAGAAATATAATTACTAACACAGGAATTTAAATACTTTATACTCAGTACAAGTTTTGGAACATTGATATCCATATGAAGTTAGCGCTCGTTGGTGTCACAGTCACAGACGATCTAAAACACTTTGCATTTTTAGGGGGTCTTTTCAGAACTAGTTCATGTCCAGTATCAAAACAGCCCGAAGGGGTTGTATGTGAACATATGGACAAAGTAACCCTCAATCAACAACAAACACTGGTACCTAAACCGAGTTTTTCCATCTCCATGCTTATGTGAGTCCTGAGATGCTGTATGACATTTTTGTTCTTCTTTTAGCTTTCAGGGTTTAAGACTATTTCACTGTATTCATATGGTCATATGGAATGCTGTAGCATGAACAGGGATCATTTTGCCTCCATAAAACCCACTCTGACTACATTGTCTTTTGTAGCGTTCTATTTTTCCTCCCTTTTGACATTCTAAAGTCCTCTATTTCTGCTATAAAACGGAGGTACGCTATATTGTAGTCTCCAACCGCACGTGTCTTTCATAGGTTGAAAAGAGGGTCAAAAGAGAGAAAGCCTGAGAGAGAGAGAGGGAGAGTCATGCATGGATAGATGGGTAGGAGGGAGCAGCAAGCTGTGACTCTTGGACATGTTCTGGTGGGTGCACTGAACCCCGCAGGCTGCAGCCACACTCAGCTCTTTGTTGTTTTCGTTCTGCACAGGGAGGAAGGGTACTTTCCTGAGCTGGGGAGGAGGATTAGCGTTGCATGGCCTCCATCCCCAGCTGCACACATGACCAGCACCGTAGGAAAGCCCCCAAAGACGGCCCAAAAAGAGGTACGCGAGGGATGAAGGGAGCAGGGCGAGGCAAGAACATCAGCTCTCTGCAATACTGAGGAATGTTGCAAGCCCTGTAAGCCCTCCAAATGATCACTGCAACACACTTTCAACATCCCCATTATTTCAGAGAGGCTGCCTTCTTGTTCCTCCACTTGTTTTTACAGTGCTTCTCCAGCTTACACTTCGACATTTTCTTTTTTTCCTCTCATTGTTCAGCAGCACAAACACAGACATTTATCCATCCATCTATCTATCCATCCATCCATCCATCCATCCATCCATCCATCCATCCATCCATCCATCCATTCATCTATCTCTATCTATCCATCCATCCATTTATCCATATCCACAGTGATTTCTAAAATTTGACATTTACAAAATGATCCCATCCCAAACATGACGTGTGAAGCGTGACATCTACTGGCAACACACAAGGTCCTTGCTCTCGCTCGATGGGCTGGTCTTTGGTGCCAGGTGATGTCACTTCCTGTGGAATACCACAGATCATCTGTCACCAAATTTTACCAGCTGTTGGAGCAGAGGGTTCCAGTTGCTGTTTCTTCTCACAACCTCCAGGAAGTCACTGAGGTCAGAGAGAAATAGTTCCAGCACGCCACTGCGTGTAAAACTTTAACGTGTTGTTTTATATTTTCAGATTCTATACGGTTTAAATAAAAGAGATACAATGTGCTAATTAGTGAGCTTTAGAGGTGCAGACAGGCGTATTTTGTAGTCTTGTAGTCAGCTGTTTCCCCTTCTCTTTTCTTCCTGCTTGTAAACTTCATGCTAAGCTGAGCTAAATGCCTCCAGGCTCTGACTCCATAGCTAATACACAGAGTGGTATCAAGCTTTTCAAACGGCTTTCCTTAAAGTCCAACTATTCTTTTAACAAAATGAGTAAATCCAAATGAGTGAAATGTCAGAGTAGCAAGAAAAGAAAACATAAATGTATATTCATGCCCATTTTACTTGGGAACTGTTATTATTACGAGCTGGGATATTTTACGTGTGACATAATTGAATCACATACAACATGGCCTGTGATTTAATGAATAGCTTGTGCCGTTAACGTGACTGCAAAGGACTGTGAGTTAATTATGTGGCAACCAGCTGTAAAAGCTTCAGTATAGAATCGTCCATTTCGTCGTGCCATTCTCTCCTATCGTGCCAGGACGGCATGCCAGTAGAAACAGCGTTTAAAAGGAGTGGTCAACAAATACAGCTGCCAACAGGTCATTTCCACTGCCGAAATAATCTACATCTGGAAACAAATTATTTAAAAAAAAAGTATATTCCATTTAAAATGAGGTTTGCACACACTGCCTCTGTACACGTGACAGTCACTTATTGCACTTCCAACAACATGTCATTTCAAAGCAACGCAATGCTTTTTAAGGCAGTAAATCTGGCATGGCATTTAGGCATTTTTTGTGTATTATAGGCCACATAATAAAATATTATTATGTGAGAATGTTGTTCATTTTGACCACAACACTGACGTGAGAGCGAGAGCATCAGCAGGAAATTCAGCGTAGCTTCCCTCCTCTTTCATCACCACGCTGTGGTTTATCTATTCCAGCGATATCGGCGACCTCAAGGACACACCACGTCCATTCATTGAGCGATCAATTGAGTCTCCAATGTGTTGGGGATTTTGTGGCGTGTTTACTGAGCAAGTCAGTCCCGCCTTGTGTGAGCCTCACAGCTCACAGCTCTGCCTGATGAGCAACGCTGGCTCCATTTCTAGAGATTTATTACTCACCCTGCCACTAATCACATGCTCAGCCTCATCTGTCAGGAAGCAAGTGGCTCTATTGTCTTGACTGACAGTATGAGGACAAAAAGAAGCATGACAAAATGACATCAACAACTGTTTAGCTAGTGCCACTAAATAAGTAGTGTGGTTGCTTTCTCAAATGATCATGTCTCAGAATGTGAAGCAGCAAACACTGCCCCTCCTGTAGCAGTACCAGCCAACCAGCTGTTGCTGTTGTTGCAGTTAAAATCAAGGTTGGGACCCCATCTAGTGGCAGGTCCTCAGAGAAGCTGCCTGAGAGGTTAGGAAAGTCAATAATGACTGGGAAAAGAGATGGCTATCAAAAGTGTGTACTTTTGGGTGATAAACAAATCATACCAGCAACACTCTCAATCGGTATTTACCCCATACTGCTTCATAAAAGCCGAAAATTAAACTGGGCACCAAAGTTTGGTTGTGCAAAATTTCAAACTCATGGTTCAAAATCTGCAGACGTACAAATGTGAAAACATGTTCAACAATGGTGCTAATGTTTGGCTTTCATCAAAATGTCCATGCATCAAAGACAAATGAACATCTTCAAGATTATTTATTGGTATGTCACAGTTAGGTTATTTAGTAACACAACATGAGTCTGTGCGCCAAAATGGAAAATATTTCAGATAGATGAGCTAGTTGATGTGCAGACAGACAGACAGACAGACAGACAGATATGCAGGTAGGAAGACAGGCAGATAGACAGGTATATAGCCCTACAACAGCCACAGATACCGGATTTGTTTTGCTATTTTAGTCAGAGCATTTGATTCATTGATTGCTGCCGGGATGGAATGAAAATTTTAACAAATGTAACAAAACAAATTTCTGAAATACATTTCTCACCCGAGATATAAGCAGCGTATACTCTGTGGTGTAGCAGTTGATGATGAGGTGGGTGTACTACCAATAGATTACCCAGGAGGAGGTGGGTATACTCTCCCATATATTCCAATGGCTTTTGGGTTGATAGGTGGGTATACTATGAACTGCCAGAAAGAGAAGTGTGCATACCTCATAGACCTGTGTACCACCCACTCAGGTTTGATTGAGGATTTGTAAAAAAATACTCGATGCCTGTTTGCGTCTTCGTTCTGGTTTCACAGCATCTTTCCTCCCAACAGAGTGCAACATCGATCCGTCGGGATCCTTTGATGAAATCTAGAAGGAGGCCTTCAGTGTATGAACATCACATTGTTCCAAAAACGCATCATTCTAAGCCATTCAACACATCTCAAAATCACTCAAAAAGAACACAGAACTGCTTAAGTTCACAGTTATGCTAAAACGAGGATACCAAATTTTATGTAGCTAATTTTCTGCATGTGAGCTGCCCCGAATAAAAAAATAGGAACAGGAAAAAGCAAGAAGAAAGCAAGCAAAGATCAGGCAGTGTGTCACTACAAAAAATACTGTCCACAGCTACAACTATTTCAGAGCTGCTAACAATCGCAGCAGTGTGCTCAAAGCTTCTATTGCCGGGACCAGTGATGAAGATGAAAAGCCACCGAGCATCACAAGCACTGAAACGAGTCATCCTCATGGTTCAGACCAGTTGTCATTGTTGTTGCTGCTGTAGGCTGAAGATAAAGATGCAACTCAGTGATCAATAAATGCAACTCAAGCAGTAATCCGCTGATTCAGTCAGGTCGTAATGCAGTTACATCTTTCAGTTATTGTTTATATTAGCTGATGAAACATTTCCTTCAATATGAAACAATCATACAACATTTTACATTTACTGTAATTAATATATTTTTGAGTGCACAGTTCAGCTCTGCAAAAGAAAGTACAAATTCACCACAGTAATATTAGATTATATTTTTTCTGATTCAGTCTTATTGTTCAAGGCTGAAAATGGGAGATCTTTGCTACATACTCTTAATTCTGATGAGAAGATGTCTGTGACATAAAATAAGCTATCTGTAAATACAATCAGTGTATTACATGAACTTTAAAATAATAGCAAGCTGCATTTCTGTTAAATGTAGAGAGCAGAGAGATGTCACCAGCCTCTGTTGGTGGTCTGAAGGAACTGCAACAGAGGCTGCTTTCTGGATATATTTAAATGCATTGGGACTACTCCAAACTGTGGGTTCGCTAAATGAAAACATTGTTTCTCAAAAAAAATGTATAAGAGTATTTAATGACTCTAAATATCTTTCCAGGTTTTGACTTGTGTTCAAAAAACATAATTTCCTGCGCATTTTAAACTTGCAACTATAGCAGTTTAAACTATATTAATTGTGTACCAATTTGAACTTGTTTAGTCACATTAATATGATGTGCCCAAACAGTATTCATTGGTAAGAATAAAATAAATGAAGGTTATGGCTACAGTTTGTGTAAAGGTTCCCCAGATGGTGTGTGTGTGTGGGGGGAACCAGTCAGGCATTAGATTTTCAGTCAACACTCAACACTGAAGAATATCTATTTTATTTAGGTGCCACAGTAATTGGGGTTTGTAATTAGACAATTATTTGTTAATTATTTCTAATTGCATTCCTATGGATCCAATATATAGTATTTCTAAACAATGAACCACAATTCAGTCCAGATTAAATTAAGACATTATTGTAAGAATCATATACAGTATATTCAAGTTTGCGATTTACAGCAGACAGGGTGAACAGACGTTGGCTAACCATCACCAATGCACTGTGGCACAAACAACAACCAGACGTGACATCATTACACCCCTTATATTGCTACACCGTCGTAGCTCAGTTTACACAAACCTTGATGGTTTTTCGCCACCAGGTGAAAATTTCCCTGCTATTAAATCCAACTGCCTGTGATGTTCGCGTGCGCGTTCGCGCGCGTGTAATCGAAACGAACCTTGCGTGTAGTGTGATCGTGATTTTTTTTTTACACACGCTTGAACCGAGGCCCACGCTCTCTCATCTTCCGGCGTACGGAAATTTCGAGAATACCGAAACATGGCGCGCCGTGCGTGCGTGCGTGGGGGCAACCCCGTCTCAGCCTCCATCTGATGGCAGCATCAGGCAGTCCCGTGGAACATTTGCGTGGGAGTTCCCTTCACCGCCATGTCGGGATAGTGCAAATCTCTCTCTCTCTCTCCCTCTCTCTCTCTCCTTCTCTCTCCGTGCATCCTCCCCCACATTAACAGCTTAGCACAGCAGCAGCAGCAGCAGCTCCTACAGCATCCAGCATCCATCCCTGCCTGGGGAGCAGCAGTCCTACCCGGCGCAGCACCGAGGCACGGAGGGGGCGCATCATCCAAGTGATGCCACAGCACCAGTCGCATTTCGACAACAAATACCGAGAGTAGACCCTGAAAGGAGGGAGAGAGAAAACCAGCTTCAGCCTCGAAGACAGTAACTGTCCATGAAGATGTCTAACGCTGACATCGTCTTAAACGCCACCGATCGGATGGTGAAATGTAAGTTAGCCTGCATTTTGCATTTGGTTACGTCTGGAAGATATTACATAATATCTCCAGTGTTTAGCTCCTCGTGCCTTGGCAGGATATGGCCTTTATTTTCCTGTCGTGCTTATGCGGCCATCAAGTTGCGTTCACGGCGATGGTAGTGGGCTGCTGGTGCTTTGATGTTGATAAACAATCCGGTTTTCTTTGCTGCACTGCCCCCGCCAAGACCGGGCATACTGCTTAGAAGCAGCAGTGCAGCGGAAAACATGTATTTTTGTGTGTTTTTTATTGCACACATTTATTTATATTCTCATCTTTGCCGTCACGAGTTGACTGCATCTCGGCTTTGGCTCGGGTAGGCATGAGATGAGGGACGGAAAAACAGCTGAATAGCCGAGCTTGTTGTAGAAGCTGGGGCAGTGATGCAGCAGGATTTCACAGCGCTTTGACAGGGCCAGTGGAAGAGGAAGAGTGCATGAAATTGACATTTAATGGGGGTATATTTTACCGGGAGTGAGTCATGTTTTAATTTGATTAGAAAAGGTCTATAAGATTTTCCAAAATCCACATCAGTGGATGAGGAGAAGGCTGCTCTGTCAGAGAATTACTGAGGCAACAACTTGAATCAATGGAGGATGATGAAGTGATCACAATTGTGCCATAACTCATTTAGCACTGCTCATTTTGACTATGGATCAGTTCACAATCAGCACTGTGCCTGAATATATTCACATTCAGTATATTATCTTAATGGCCGAGCAGCTCAGTCAGCATTAACAACTTTGTCCTTTAGGCTACGGAGTTGTAGAAACCAGAGTAATCTGCACTGTGAGATACACTTATGTGACAATGACTGCAGGCACAATGCATGTCCTGTATGTATAAGCTGTTACAATTGAAAAAGCTTTATTTAAGAATTATACTAACAGGTCTGGACCCTCAAAAAAGGAACTATTGTATTGCCAGAAAATGAGCCAGGTCCTTCCAGAAGGACCCTAACAATCTTTTTTTTCAGGCTTATTTTTAGTTGGAATAACACAATTCTGAAACATATCCATTTTAACAATGACACGTTGCGATTTTATTTGCACTATTAGCAAATAATACAGTTAATTGTTAAGGAATATGTAAGTAAATTATCTCTAACTGTCGCACTGCCATTTGTCATAATGTCCATAGTAAGAGAAAGAAGTTTGTTTAAAGTGACATTATTAGTTGTTGTTTTGAGCAAGAGTTCACAATCGAGATAAAACGATTGTGGTTAAATCTTTGGCGAAGCTTTTCTGACATCAAGGCATTCAAAAATATGTCAAACAAAAGGTTTATATTAGCAAACGCTGCACAGCCAAGAATTCTGACTCAGACTTTTGCTTTTGTAACATGCTCATGTAACATTTAGGATTTCCGTACAAGGTTTGAAACACTTGAAGCCTTTTTTTTCTGAGTAAAATCATATGCATTTGTTTCATTTTTGCCATTCACACACAATGTGATTTAGAAGCCTTGCTCAATAGCTTCAACTATATGTTCAAATCCCCATTCATTTGCTCTGTTTGACCTTCCTTGTCACTTCTATCTGCTCTCTTATTCTCGGACTCCACTTTTAAAAAGTAGTAAAACACAGTTGTTGTTTTTTTCCAAATCCCTAAAGGCTGAAAAGTGATAAAAAAAAAAAAAAAAAACTTAGATGCAACAAACTGCATCATGAATCCTTCAGGTGATCAAAGGGAGCTTGCAAGGAAATGACGATTTTGATGAGTCGAGACAGACATCTCTTACAGTTATTGTGTGTGACGCACGAAAACTACCGAGAACTGATACTACATGCTACATAAAGTTATTGTTATCCCTCACATATCTCAAACTTAAACCACAGCAAGTTTCTCAGTGCTTCTCTTCTCTCTTACATGTTTAAACCTGACAGATCATACTGTATCTAAAGAGTTACAAAAAAATTGCTGTTCTGTGCGGTTTGTTTTCCACGGCACTGTCACCACCGTGCTGTGGGCATCAAGAGGCATATTCAGGTCAGTTATTTTGGGGATGAGGCCTTTAGTACACCTGTGAACTATCTTACTTTATTATAGCACCTTAGGAAATGATTTTCTTAATACGTCACAGTAGCTGTATTCCAAAAGAATTACAGTACGTGAATATGAAGCAATAAAAGCAGTTTCTTTGAATTAATTAGTGCGCAGCAATATGAGAAGCACTGCACTGAGACATAATATGTCAGCTTTAAACTCAACAGGGCTTGCGAAAGGCTAAAACATTCACTCTAGCTCTCAGTAGCAAACATGCAAATTGGCAACAACACTTCTGTTGACATAAATAGTTTATCAATGATGAAGCAATGGTTGGGTTTGGCAGAATAGAGCTGTTTTTTTCTACACATTTAACATTAGTCGGGAGGTACGTAACCCTTCAAACATGACGTAAAGCTGATCTCAGCTGGTGGAGCCGGAGGATGCAGGTGAGGAAAAGCAACACAACATTAAAAGCTTGACACTTGGCTGGACTGTATGTTAATTGGGCCTCTTATAAATGCAGCACTGTCTAGTTAGTCCAACTACATGAAGCCATTCAGCCTTTCCTGACTGAACCCAGGGTTGCTCATTAGCAACACAAACCTACAGTTGCTTCATTTTTTTTTTCAAGCTTGCAGTACGGAGAAACCATTCTCAGGAAAATGTGTTGTGGCATAAAAAGGAGTACGGTACAGGCTCATACTCCTCAATACGATTGGTGTGTCTACCGCATGAGCGATTCCAACTGCATCTATGTGAACCTCCAATGCAAATTGCAGTTTTCCGTGGCGGCACTGGCTGTACTCCAACAGTCAGCTGCTGCTGCTGTTGCCCGGCAACATAGCGTATTTCATAGTTCAACTCTGCTTTGGTGCTGAGCAGAAGTCAGCGTTTCATCTCACCATACCCTAACGCTCGTACATTTGCGTCGACATAGGTGTCTGTAAAATGCATTGTTTTCATTCGTTGAGTATCTGGGTTGCTTTTTGGGGATTTCTTTCTTATTAGTGGGCTTAATCCTTTGTTGCTCCATTCTGCCTAAAAAAAAGCTAAGTGTTATGTCCTTTTCAAAGCATCTGTGTGTGGTTCTATTTTAGTTCATGTTAATGTTAAAAAAAAAGTGCCAGCAGTTTGAAAACAAAAATGGAATATTGTGTCCAAAAGTAAAATCATTTCAGGGTGATTTGGGTTTGTGCATTTTAATTTAATGTCAATTATAGTATCCTACAGCAATATATTTTGGACAATGCCTTCCTGTCAGAATTCTTCTGAGGTACTTTACAGTCAGTGTTGTTGTAGCTCGTCGGCTCATTCCCCTCCTCTCAATTCCAATACAAATTGTTCTGTGAAGGTAATTCATCACTGCGTTTGAGACATATTTTGCAAAGTTGTATCGTCACGCTGTCAGGCTGCCACGCAACATTAACCTCACTAAAACTTGAGACAATTTGAGTGGTGACTGTGCTGCTGAGTGTGTACTAGCTGGTGGAGTGTCAAAGCACACATCGCAATCACAGATACACACTGTGAACATTTTTTAGTCCCATTAAATACACTCGCTGGGGCCCGCCTCATTATCCCAGGAGCAGCGACTTTGAGATTCCTCTAGTCAAGCATTCGTTATTAAAGATCATGTTGATCATGTTCGGTTAAAGCCTGAGCTTTGAGACTTCCTTTGTCTTCTCTTCATTTGGCGCTGCTGAGTGGCGCTGTTTGCTATGCACCGCACAAATCTGGCAAGCGCACCCTTACTCCTGAATATACTGCAGCTGGTGGCTTGTGTCGTGTGTACATATGTGTGTGTGTGTGTGGGGGGGGTAGAGTACTAGAATATTTTGCTAAAAATGCACTCAGATAAAAGTAAAAAAAGTAGGTCAGAGTAAACGTTACATTTTAAAAGGGTGATTATAATGTTATATGAAAGAACTATTAAATTAAAGACCAGTTAGGTAACAAAATAAGGTGCATTATTAACATGTGAAAATACACAATGGTGAACATCATGCCACCAAGCCCTTATGTCCAAAACAACAATATATTCCTTTTATTTAGACATAAATGTGCAGCTTGTGCATACAACCAGTTACCAATTCTAAATAGATGAATGACTTCCTCAGTAAAGCCTCACAAAAGTTAATCAGAAAAGACTGAACTAAATATTAGACATTTGCACAAAAATGACCAGCAATGAATAAAAACAGCTGTGGACACCGCGGCGGGTGCAACAAGCATTATTTGACAACAAAAAAGAAATAACCTGCCACTTTAACAGCATAATAAAGCAGCACCAAGGCAGCCAGCACAGAGACGTAAATACTATATAAACTCAACAGCAGCTGCAGCCCACAAACACACACTGGAAAGCAAAAAGAGAGCTGCACAGTTTTTACTCCCCACACAAGGATACTTTTCAAGGCCACGCAGTGGTTGTTGACGTCCTCCTCTATAAAGAGAGAATTTGTTGTTGTACTCACTTGTCTGAAAGTCATTCTGTGTTGTGCACCACTAAGTCTTCCTCAATTTGCTCCAGGTCAAACGTCTCTGCTCATTCTTTCTCAAAGCATAATATAACCGGTCTACTCATCCCCACTGGTCCCATTGTGCTCCTCAAATTCACAAAGTTTTGAGCTGTATGAGCACTCTGCAGTCACAGCTATGATCGGGATTATTGTCACTAACAGCAGAAAGGCGCACACACCTCACTGGAGGTAAAAGTTCCTCAGCAAATGTAGAAGTCACCGCTAGAGGATCAACCATGAGCCTTTTAGCATCTAGTATTTGAGGTAGTCCCAGCATGAACCTGTCACTCATGCAACATTGTAGGTGTTTTTTTATTTGGGCTCTTTGCTTGCATGCTGGGGGGTGCAGTAAATCAGGGGTTGGTAAGGTAGATGCAACCTTTTTTTAAGTATGAGGTACAATAATGCTTATCGTAACCATTACCCAGAATTTCAGCCGTATTTTTTTGCATTATTGTGCATTTTAGTACGTATTTTAGTTTTGATCTGAATTATTTACAACTCAGCCGCTTAGAGTTTTCTGTGTTAAACCAGATGATCTGTAGATTAACGCCAATGCATGGACCCTTGAAAGCGAGTCACAGCACACGGAGATCAGCACCTAATAAATAACCTTTGCTGCCACCGAAGTAATGATCTGTGGTTGGATTTCACACTTTCACAGGCAGTCTGTTGGGCACAGTAGGTGACTGGTGCATTTTAATGGCCACAGGCTTTAGCAGTCCGGGGAGAGTGCTGGATGAATAGAGTGCTTAGATGTTTTCTGAGTTTTATCCAGCACTCAGAAAATACTTTGTAAGTACCCACACATCTGCACTGGAATCACTGTTAGTAACTGACAGTTTGTTGTGTGTTGATCTTTTCCAGTCACTGATCTTGCTGCTGTTTGTGTACAATATAAATTTATATTTTAGTTGTTAAATAGACATTACTGGCATAAAGTAACATAAGAAAATATATCATAATAACATATTTCACTTCAAACACTGCAAAAATAACTGCAGAGTGATTTGCACCTCTGACCCACCATTTGAAAAAACAACTAATCTGTAGATTAGTTCTGCGAAGAATAATGGTGTATGACGTCTATTTCCAAATAACTAAGATATTTCTGTATCATTTGAATGTTCAAATGGCTTCTCATACTTAATGCATATTAATTTCTGATTATGGTTCTCATTCCAGACATGCACATACAGGCCTACCGTAAGTTAAGATGGATGCAGAAGCAAAATAATGCCTGCAGGCAAAACGTGCATGGGGTTTTCTCAGATAAGATTTATGCATGAATTTCTTGATGATATGTTGTTTGTATCATTTCTGAGTGGTGTTTGCCACTATTCTCTCACAAACATTATTATTATGGCATTATGGCATCAACAGTAGCCATAGTTGCCGTGATGTCCCCTCTGTTTAAATGTCCCCATGTGCTCTGTCCTCAGCTGTTCCCTTCCCCCTGAGCCACCGCCTTACAATGAAGGAAGTGATCGACTGCGAAGGGAAACCACGTGTGGATCTCCTGAAAGCCCACCTCACCAAGGAGGGCCGTGTAGAGGAAGCTGTGGCACTCCGAATCATCAACGAGGGAGCAGCTATCCTGCGCCAGGAGAAAACTATACTGGACATCGAGGCACCAGTTACAGGTATTAAACCTGTTTCAGATATTAACCTGGTCCATGTCCTGCTGCACTCATAGTGAGCTGCAGGACGTCACGCCTGGAAATTGTGACGACTTAGCGTTCCGGTTGAATGATTTTGGAGACTGTGGTTTCTGATGCTGTTGAATCGTATTGCATTATACCGAGAGTGTTTATGATATTTTCTCCACCCCTGTCTGGTCTGTGGACGTGTGACATTGTCTGACTGTTTGTTTGTTCTTCTTTTTGGCATTTTTGGACAGTTGATAGTCGAGAAACAAGTACAAGGAGAAGGGTATCCCATGCCACAAAGGTCAACTGTCAGAATATATATATGATAATAAAATATGGAGCCAGTCCTAAAAGAGTAGGTATAACATCATTACTCAGCGTATTGAACAATGACGTCTTCCAGCTTTCAATAGCTTCTTGGCCCAAATGTTTCTGTGTAAGCATTAGCAGAACCTAATGAATTTAACAGAAAAAAATAGAAAGTATTGGTTGAGGAATGTTGAACATTTAGCAGCTGCCTTGATACTAAAAAAGACACGGTCAGGGGGATATTTTCAATGATTTGTTTTTCAGAAGCTAATATTGTTTATCACATTTTCAGAGACACGGCTCCAACTTAATGCTAACGTTGTTTTATGTCTGCTGGATGCATAAGAAGATAATTGTTACCTAACATAATAGCCAGACTGTGGCTTTTTTTTTTTACCTTGTTGTGGAGTTCTGTTGCCCCAAAGTGGCAAAAAAACACCACTAATGTAGCTATAAAATAATAGTTTTGTTGTCTGCTTTTCAGCTGACCTTATGATGTTAGACGAATGTAACCTTTAAATATGTGAGTGTACCCTTATTATTATAAAATGTATTGCAAATTGTTGTAAACCCTGCTGTGAGGGAAAAAAAAACCTGACCAAGTCCTATGTATAATTGCTATGTATAATTAACCTTTTTAAGATTGATAAAAAGTGAGTCATACAGCCATGTTCGCAGCTCTGTGAGCTGCTCCACCTCGTTTTGTGAAATTCTTGTGGATGGATGAAAGCAGTTATATTAATTATATTAATTGGTTATATTTGCATAATTTATTGATATTTTCTTATTTCAGAGCTAACAGCCATATTTAGCATTACGCAAATTAGTTAGCTAGGCCGCAAATTACTGTTTTTTGCCAGATCTCGTGATTGTTTGTTGCTGTGATGGAGAAAGAAAGTAAATTTGCTCTTGATTTGTATGTCTGTAAACTAAAAGGATGATGGGATGGGACAAGTTTGACGTTAGCGAGCTAATGTTAGCTAGTAACTGTAGTTAGCTAAGGCCCTTGCAAACATTCATACTGCATAGCTTTCTCATGTATCCACATTCCACCAGAACACAAGCTGCATTATGTCAACATGCTTTAGATGAGTTACAGAAACAAAGTTATCCCAAAACTGACATTTGGACAAAATGTTTGCGCTCTGTCTCTGTGCTCACAATGATAATGCTAACATGCTTGCGTTAAACAGGTATGATGTTTGTATTGTTTACCATCTGAGTTTGGCAGTATTATGATGATTATGTCTTATGGTTATATGTCTGTAGAGAGAGTCAAGAAGAGAGGATGACAGTCAAAAAAGATGCAAAAGAGGTCGTAATAGGATGTGGACTGATACGAACGATACTCTTTGTAACAGTAGTACCAAAATAAACAATGCACTTGACTGGAGCGCGAGAGAAGAAGAAATGCAAAAAAAGAGAAATCTATATGAAATCCTTTCTGCTGGAAATTGTCACTTTCAGATAGAATCATCATTATTTTAAGGGAAATAGGCTAACAGTATTTTAGAAACACTGAATCTCTCATTATAAGTCCTCTCATCACAGACTAAATTACTGGTTCCTTCATGGGTGAGGTGTTTCAAGTAGAGTGGACTACTGCAGTGCTTTGACTCTGAACAAAGTATTATTGCATTATTCGTTTTAAGTTAAATAAATAAACTACATTCTGGCACTTGTGTACTAGTAGACATTTGATGACATCAAAAAGTTCTCGTGTAACGTGTCAAGTGAAAAGTTGGCTTTGGTAAAGCAGCAATGTTAACATACATCAAGGTAAAAGGTAATAGTAAAAAGAAAAATATCAATTGCTCAAAAAGCTTTTCAGTCTCTGCTTTTGATCAACCCACAGTGTGTCCTAGTTATATTCTAAAACCAGACACAAAACATTTTTTTATCCTGTGTATTAAACTAGAGCCGCCTAATATAGTGTTTTTTCTATTGTCATCGCAAACTTGCTCGATAAAAACACATCACGAAAAACTGCAATATCGCATTGAGTTTTTGAGCTTTTAATATATGTTTTGTCAATTCTTAACATATAAATTCAGAAACTAAAAGGTGCGTGAAGGTGTGGGTATCACACTTCAATACTCTATATGAGTATCGAAAACTCACACACTGAAAGTTGGCATCAAATGCTTGGTCAGATTTGTAGTTTACTTCAATGAAATTGATTTTATTTAACTCAAAGCTTTACCAATTTTAGACTATTTTAGTTCTTGTACTTGCACGCTTGTGTTTCAGTGATGGGTTGTCCTGCATAGCCACGAAGTTCTATGATTCAATTCCAGCCACGGACCTTTGGTGCACGTTGAACTCTTCTCTCTCCCATGTTTCTCGTCCATCAGTCGCAACTGTTGCTATCCAATAAATCTGCCAATAATTAACCTAAAAAAATAATTCAAATCATACCCAATTCTTGGTACTAGAGACCATTTTGCTCAAATCAAAGTGACATCTGGGTATTCCTTGATAATTCTTGAACTCCCCATAAATAATTTGCACTTCGGACATTTGATTTTGGTGCATTAAGTCCACAGTGTAATGGTTCTTCAACCTAAACTGTGTGATATTAAATATACATTCATCTTTAATTCATATCCCATCAGCCTGATTATCTTAGTTCACAGCAAGTACAGTGTTTAGCAGAAACAAAGGTGACAAATAGATAAAATGAACACTGACTTAAGAGAAGTCTCGTGTATTAAGCATGAAGTATGGATGATAAGTATTGTGTACGGGCATCTGTGAGTGTGGAGTTCTCTGTTACGTCTTTGTGAGCTTGAGGTGTGTTTAAATGTCTCTGCAGCTGTGTGTGTGTGTGTGCGTGTATGTGTGTGTGTGTGTGTAGTCATATATTATTAGGCGTTTATGCAGTTGTGAGTCTTTACTTGCATGGGTGTGTGCGCGTGTGCGTGTACGTATGTGCGCATTTGTGTGTTTGATTGCTTTAGTCACACAAGCAGTCTCCCACTCACATTGCTCTAAGCTTTGAGTGGGCGAAGGCCACTGTGGAGCTGATAGGGGAGACAGAAAAGAGAGAGGAGATGGAGGATGAGTAGGAGACAGAGGAAGATGATAATGAAAAATTGAAGGCAGTGAGGAAATGAGATGTAGGTTTGCACTCCAGAGCCATAGTGTTCACTGCGAAAAAGTATGTATCTCCCCTGGGAGCCTGAGCTTTTTCTACCTCTTTGAGGCGAGAGCTTCTCAAGTCTCTGTGGAGGACAGAGGCCTTTCAGCCAAAGACCGTCAAAATCTCAATAAGATGACGACCTAAGGACAGGAGACATTTATACCATTATATTCCTCTTTTGGTGTTTCAATACTGGCAGTGTCGCTTTAATTGTAGATTAAATATATATTCTTGCTGCAAGAATATGCATTTGCAGGAATATTCTTTTCATGGCCTCCTTTGCTGCTCTGTTAAAGCTGAAGTCCATATTGTTTCTACTTGACAAAGCTAATAGACATGTGAAGACTCAGCAGTTACAACACTTCTAGTGACAACGTTAATAATTGTTATACTTGTGAAGCCAGTTGCAATAATCCAGACTGATGATGAAGAAATGCTGACGTGGAAATAGTCATGGAGAGCGGAGCAAGCGGACCCAAACACAAAGAGACTGCAGGCAACAGGAACTTGAAGAAATGAATCTTCATTCACAGTTTGTGCAGACGAGGCAAAACTGAACATCACCGATCAAACCAAGGATCCAACAAAGACACGACAAAGCCAGGATTTAAAAACAAACTACTCTGACGAGAGGATGAAGTGCAGGTGGAGAGATGGGCGGAGAGGCTCAGGTGAGGGTAATGAGGTGGTTAAAGGCAGGAGAACAGGCAGGGAGCTGATAGTAAAAAACACTGGGAACAGGAAAGGAGCTGATTGGCTGTGAAGAACTAACGAGGCTGATTCAGAGGAGCTGTGTAGATGGGCAGAGGAGGGAGAAGCAGTATAGCACAGAACACCCATAAAACAAGCAATCATTACAGCAAACAGAATATATCACCGTTATCCATTACTGAGAGTGTTGAGATACAGATATTAACACAAACTGCAGCATTGCGCTGCCTGCCCGCCTGTGTGTCTATTTATAAAGCTAACCTGTGAGCATGTAAAGAAGACACACACCGCTACCCTGTACAGACGTGAAGTTTCTGCCAGAATATTCTCTACTGTCTACTTTGTCTTCTAATCCTCAGAAGCAATAGATAAGAGAAGTGACTCTCTGGCTGTCATTACAAATAGGCCTTAACACAGAGTGTTTCTTCTAGAAGAAAAAAACATCCTCGATATTTTCATCACAACTATATCCAATCCTGTGTAAGTGTTTTTAATAAGCCACAAGAGGTTTGAGAGTTGTATCAACGCGTGGTGAGGCTACTATAATTGTTTCACTCCGTGGAATACGCTATAATAATCAAATGATACAACGGACCTGTGCTGAACATGAGGAGTGTGTACTTTTTGTCCCACAAAACAACAACATGCAGACAAAGATATTCAATCTGATTCTTTGATTTCGTAACGTTTGCTGTCCTTTGGTTGTCTTCCAGTGTGTGGTGACATCCATGGGCAATTCTTTGATCTTATGAAGCTGTTTGAAGTGGGAGGATCACCAGCCACAACACGGTACCTGTTCCTCGGGGACTACGTGGACCGTGGCTACTTCAGTATTGAGGTAAAACCACCAGAATGTCATTAAGTATGTCATAGGGGAATCAAACTGCAGAAAGTTTCATATATTCAATACAGTTCATTTATTTTTGTTTATGCTTGTTTTGACAGTGTGTTTTATACCTCTGGTCGCTGAAAATCCTCTATCCAAAGACACTATTTTTACTTCGTGGAAATCATGAATGTAGACATTTGACAGAATATTTCACCTTCAAACAAGAATGTGAGTACCTCTCAGTGTTAATTATATATTTTTTGTTATTGTTTATATATTCGTCTCTCTTGCTAATGTCATGTGTAGCCTGCAGCACTGCACCTGGGACTGTCAAGTTAATTCTGTATGACGGCACACAAAAAGGGAAAGGAATTGTCTCTGAACAATTGAACATTTAGACCTGATAGCAAAAAATATATTAATTTTTTTGTTTTGCATATTTCTCAACATATGTCCCAAAAAAATGTATCATTGGCTACTTTCTTCTTGCAATTATTTAACTGAACTAGTGTTGTAATTTTGTATAAATATAAAAGATGTCTCACAAGAACTAACCAACATGCAATATTAATTGCATGTGCAAACGTACCTGTTTCGGATTCTTTTGACGTAAATGTAACAACTGACAACATTGATGCAGCTGATTGCATGTCTTTCTTCTGCCAGGTAAAATCAAGTACTCAGAGCAAGTGTACGACTCATGTATGGATGCATTTGACTGCCTTCCCCTGGCTGCACTCATGAACCAACAGTTTCTGTGTGTCCATGGTGGGCTCTCACCTGAAATACACACCTTAGATGACATTAAAAAGGTAATAACATACTGCTTCAACCAGGTCTTGGCGACATTGGTTGTTTTTTAAAAACATGCCTTTCTGCCTCCTTGTGTTAAGTTGGATCGGTTCAAGGAGCCGCCGGCTTTTGGGCCCATGTGTGACCTGCTGTGGGCTGATCCTCTGGAGGATTTTGGCAATGAGAAAACCCAGGAATATTTCAGCCACAACACAGTGCGAGGCTGCTCCTACTTCTACAGGTGAGCTGTTTCTTCTTTTTCCCGGCAGCATCTCCAGTCCTTCAGGATTATTATAATTTTAAAACTATTGTGCATAATTAGAGACTTAAATATATGACTGCACAGCATTTAAATACAAATTTACTAAATGATGCATTGCAGTGTTGCTTCACGCATCCAATAGTCTGAAACTTTGTGTTTACGCCATCTTGCATTGCAAGCAATCGCCCACGTCAAGTGCCTATCATATATACTGCACTGATTCCATTAGCTTGACCCATGTGGCTCATTGAAGGTCTCTAATTACACTTTAGTTTTAGAAGAATGTAAGCTTGCAACTCACACTGTGGATCCTTCAACAATAAATCCTGCCTCATACAGAAAGTGTAAGTTAAAAAAAAACACAAATAACTTTTTGTTGGTTGATCAAGAACCCTGTGTATTCCTCCTCACACCTCTCTGCTTCTTCAGGCCGTGTATTTTCGAGAAAGAAGAAGATGGTAGAGAGGGAATGGCATGCATTAAAAGCTCAACACCCTAAATAGTGATTGATGATGACATTTGATTTAATCTCTCAAGAGATTTGCAACCGAAACTCTTAATACCAAAAATAGATGTTAAAAAGAGTATTAATAGATATCAAACATTTATTGCTAGCTGAGCAAAACAAAACGAAACAAAACAAACAATAGACACACGCTAACACCCCCCGTACTGGGAAGGAGACTGAATGATTCGATAAATGTCCAGATATCCTTAGAGCCTACAGACAGAGTCTGTGTCTATTTGTAAATGGGTCATATTGCCTTGTGGTTAACAACTGTTGTTGAGAAGAGGTTGACTTTTTGACTTACAGAACAGATTGTGACAGACAAAGGATTAGCTGGGTGAACCTGGAGTCAAATAAAAATAGAGCCTGTGAGAGAGGAGTAAAATATAAAAGCGAGGCAAATTGGGAACCGGTTTGTTCTGCAACTATTTAACCTTCGTGACAGAGCATGTAAAAGAAGGAGTGAGCACTGTCCTGAGATTGTTGAGATGGAGAGGCTGTGGAACTAGCTGCTGGTGGTGAGAAGAGATTAGTTGGCAGTTGTGGTGAGAGTTTTCTTAATGAAGGTTTAGAACAGTACAGCCCCCCCCCCCCCCCCCCTGCTTTTACGTGGGAGCTGCAGTTCTGCTCAAATCACAAAAAGTAAAGTCCTCTGAAGAAATGCAATGTAAACGATGACATTACAGTTCAGATTCACATTATAACCCATGCACCTCTCATTCCAGTGTAGTTGCGGGTGCAAAGGGAAGCGTCAAGGGCAGTGGTGTATAGTAACGAAGTAGAAATACTTCGTTGCTGTACTTAAGTCGTTTTTTTGGATATCTGTACTTTACTTTACTATTTATATTTCTGTTGACTTTTACTTTTACTTCACTACATTTTGCAAAGAAAACTGATACTTTTACTCCGATACATTTCCCCTGAAACCTTCGTTACTCGCTACAAAATCAAATCTATCTTTAGAAACAAAATGAATCATGAGACCAGCGTCGGGGACTGTGGTGGAACAGAGACTGCGAGCAAGCAGGTTTGGTGAATCAGTGTTCCTAGCTTGCAAGTTAAATCATTGGTTAATCACGTTAATGCGCAAAACAAGTGCTCTCAAAGCCGCGGTGTTTAGATTCCCAGTGAGGCCCAGGATGCTATATGCTAAAGCTAGCAAGCGACAACACGAGTAGAATTCCACACAGGACGGGTGGGATGAGGAGAGGTGGATGGGTCAAACAAACACTGGTGTTTCCTCCAGGAGGCCGCAGTTTGTGCCGTGCGTGAAACGAGAAGCCAATGTTGATTTATTTGTGACGTGACTTCCGTACTTAAGCAACGCCACTTCCGTAGATATTTTAACGCAAACCACGATCTTTTCCTCAACCTAACTAAGTAGTTTCATCGCCTAAACCTTAGTTGTTTCCTGTGAAGATGGAAGTTTATTTTGAAAAGACAGTATGCATGTAACAAGAGAAAACAGACTCATGTTGCTGGACTTTTGCAGGAAAAACGCACGAAAAATGAGGAGTAACTTTTCGTAAGATATCAATAAAACGGGGATGAATTTATATCATTGTATAAAGAGAGTGACATGAGAAGATCAATCTCATGTCTGTAAGTTAAATCAGCTATAATCACTCTTTTAAAGTGATTAGTGACTCGTCTAAAACATTTAAAAAAGGAATAACTTCAATAGAATCATTCTATACAATGTAGCTTCTTTACATTCTAATAGAATGTAAAGAA